GGTGCTTCATAGCATGTTTGCCCAGTCTTTAGCCTTTGGAAATACACCACAACCAGAGCAACAGATCAGGGCCGTCAGGCTGCTTCAGTAACAGTCTAGCTGAACTGGCTGACCCGTGAAGAGACCAGTGAAAACAGAGGGCAGCTGAGCGCCCCCTGTGCCAGGGCGGGGGGGGGACGATTCTGTCAGTGCATTTGTTACAAGGCAGCAACTCTCTTCCTGTATTTCAGGTGAGAGCAGTAATGTGAACTCATAATTTCCTTACTGAAATCGAAAGAGTCGGTGGAGTAAGCTTAAGTTTATTTATCCAGCAAAGTGAGCCAAGTATTTGTGAAAAAGAAGGGCCAAAGTTTAAGAAAAAGGACAAAAATCCCCAGATACACTCAGTGCATACCAGAGCATCTTTTACTCAGGCAGTAAAACCACTTGCCAGCAGGTTGTAGCCTACAAGGGCTGAGTGATCTTGCCAGCTGCCAGTAGGCTGTCCAAGGACACGCAAAGACAGACCTCACTACTTGTGCCTACACAGATACTTCACGTTACTTTTCTCTTGGCCCTTTTTATGACCTTTGCAAATCTTGTGATTGATAGCCTTTGTTCCAGCTTTCAGTGTTACTTGCTTGTTTCTCACCTCAGCTCTGTGTTGATTTAAGGCAATTTATAACCTTTTGTAACTTGCTACTAAATGCAAAAAAAACCACCCACACCACTCTATGAAAGTAATTATTGACAAAGGGACTGAAATAGCAGATACTGTTGATTAGTTAAAAGCAAGTCACCAAGTGACTGAAAGCAGGCAGCTGCTGCTTTTGGAGGGATGCAGTTAAGTCTAACAGGCTGCTTTGCTCACTGAAGCCAGTTCCACAGCCTGTACAGAGCTGTGCCAACAGCCTGTAATCTGGACCATCGAGAAAGAGCTTGTAACACTGAAGGAAAAATACCATTGTAGTTTTTGGGGGTTTTTTTTTTGTTGGTTTGTTGGTTTTTTTGGTTTGTTTTTTTTGGGGGTAAACAACCTTCCTTTGTACCAAATTACTTCTGACAGATCTGCAATGGCTAGACACCAAGGGGCCAGATGTATCGGTATATAAAATCCTATTAATTACAGTAAAAAGAGTTCAAATTTATGAATGTACCTGACACAGCTATATCACATATTACTTGTCACATAGCCAAGGATACACTTCCAAGAGTTTATTACATTTTTAATTTCTCTATTGTCTAGTACTTATGAGAGCCATTAACAAAGCAGGAACCTTTTCCCTTTTGAAAGTACATATGCATATCCTAAAGCACTGGCCAGTGCTCTAGTTCAAAGAGTAATGCTGTCCTTTATCTTAGAGTAAAAGTTGTGTTAAGACTAAAAGCTGCCACCCATCAAGGTTTTGCTTTGTACAAGAATATGCCGGAATACCACAACCGTAGTAATAACGCACAGAGGAATGAGCAAGTTAGATAATGATAGAATGGAAAAAAAAAAATATAAATCCTTTTTCCTCTGCACAGTCATCCCTGGAAACTGGCTTCTGCTTCAGTCACACTTCAGGTCTTTTGCAGAAGACAGGAAATGTTGAGGTCCCTCTCCATTGACTGTATTACGTTGTACTGCTTTATTTAAAGTTGTGTATTTAAAAAGCATTGAGCTTTAACAAGGTAGTTGTTTTAAAGTATGAAGCAGTGACAGGCTGCATGAGGAAGACAGAACATTCACATTTATACTCCTGTTTATTTCAGGGCCTCCTGCAGAAGCAGAAGGAGTTGGAGACTGCTCTGATTCCTGCTACAGCTCAAGATGAGAACTTTATTTCGCCATTTTGAGGTATATATTAATGTCTTGAATTCTTAAAATGTAAAGGCACAGCACTTTGTTTGCTACTGTAATTAATTATGAACTTTTTTTTTTAATGAAAAATTTAAATTATGTGGCTTTCGATAATTACAGGGTCATGTTGCTTTTCACATTGAAGATACATTAAACTAATGATGGTGTCTGTTTAGAATGGTCTTCAGTGCTGGCCTGAAGACATATGTCCATTTAATACAAACCACCAAAACATAGTATGAAAACGTTACATGGGGTTGTGTAGAGCTCAGTGTATGTATTTTGATAAATAAAAGATTAATGTGGATTCTGAATGGCTTGAGAAGACTCTGTTGGTATTTTTAACTATATGAAACTGCTTGTACTTAACTATTCAGACAGCTTTTAGGTTTAGATAATCTGTATTAACTCAGGTAATCAGAGATTTTAAGACCACAGAAGTGCTGGCTATAAACTTTCCCGCCTCTCAATTAAAACAGGATAGCAGCACTTAACAAGGCCATAGAACTCAGTTTAAGGAAGTTTTCTTACCAACAAGGTCCTAACAGATCCATATTCAATGTGTCCAATCAGCATTAAATGTTTACTTTAGATTAATCTGCTTTTAGTCTTCAAAAGCTAGGATAATCTGGAGTAAAACTGTTTCTCTTCTAGATCTCTGCAGAAGACGCATAACCTGAGTTCATGGTAGTTGTTCTGTGGTATCATGTGATAAACCTCAGCCCCAGTGTCCTCCCAGCAGCAACTGTCCTTAGCCATAACCTGACTCTGAAGGCACCTCTCAGCAGCAGGGAAGGGAAGGGAAGAGAGGCGCGTTTTCCTCTTGCTTGGATGCCAAGTCGTGCCATAGGTCAGAACCTGCATTTGGCAGTGAAGCTGGTAGAAGCATTTGCCACAAAATCCATTACGGTTTGTCAGTATAAGGGAGTTAAAAAATTAAAAAGATTTGCCATGTTTGGGGGGAAGGCAACAACTGCTACACTACTCTAGTAGTGGTTTGTTCTTAATTTAAACAAATAAATCAAACAACTGTTCATAGAAGAACATTCAACTTTAGGGAAAAGTCTACGGATTCTGTTTGTTTTTTTTCAAAAGCTCCCCTTTTTTAACCAGTAACATTTGTCCTAACTGATTTTGTGAGTTTAGAGTCATGTCATTTCAACCACTGTCATCTGGTATGAAACCACACATCCAACATAAAAGCACTAAAATCAAGTTACAAACGGGACAAAAACCCCCTAAACATATGACTTTGGACAACCTAAAGACAAAAGCAGTAACCGTACGAGTCAAGTATCAGTACGTGCAGAGCCAGCAGTGTGATGGCAAGGCTAAGTCTTGAGACGCCACAGCTCTTCACCATCAGCTGCTGTTCTCCAGGAGCCCAAGTCTGATGATGATGTAAGAGAGACTGGCTGGGGAAAAATAAGTTTATAACACAGCAGATGTGAAATTAAAAAGGGCAAGATAGAGAAACAGATAAAACTCTGTACTTAGGACAATGCCAGTTTAAAAACAAATAAAATAAAAAAGGAAAGGACCAGTAATTATTACACTACAGTGGGAGAGGACTGAGGTTTTTGTAATACAAATTGAACCACCACACTCATTAAAATCAGGTTTGTCCTTCTGCCATTACAGTAATTACAGTGGCAAGACAAAGTTGTAAGATCACTCCGATGGTGCTGTAATAAGCATGCAGTATCAAAATTAAATGCAAAGATAATTGCTATTCATGAAATAAAGTTTGGGTATGTTTCTCACATACTTTGAAAACAATATAAAAACCACAGACAATACAAGGTGTTAGCAAATCCCTTGTGCATTAAGAGTTTATTTGATTTTTGTAATGGAACTGCACCATTGGTTACTCTAATTGAGGTATTTAGCCAAAATCCAGTATATAGTCATTAAAATAACTGCACTGCCTTAGAGCTATGTAAAAACATTTGTACAAAAGTTGTGTCAAATGTCAAATAAATACATAAGTTTTGATATTTATGTAAAGAAAAGTGATTCAGATACTCTTAACAGTTTAAAAAAAAAACCTCGCCATTTCACATTTTAGGCAAACATTCAGTTTTACATTAAAACAGACCTCAAACTGAAGGCCAGGTACAGGTCAAATACAAATGTAGAAACTTAAAAGTGCCAACAAACAAGATAATTCAAGTACAGTAAATGTTAAAAAATATATATATTTATTTCAATTTTCAGATGCTTCCAACAGGTACAGGTCATCAGGATTTAAATAAGACAAGAAAACATTTGAGATAAAGGACAAGAAACATTTTGTTCCAGAATAAAATAGAAATTGTTAATCCGCCATTTTAGAAACAGAAAAGTCCACAGCAACTTATAAAAAGAGACTTGGGAGTTTATTTCTGGTTTGAATATGGCCTGGAAGAATCACAATTTATATCCCAACCACCAGGCGACAATGACTTTTCTGTATCCATGCTCTGACTGTAGGCAGATAGAAAATAATTGCCTCCTTCTTGGTTTTGACTTGCAGAAGAAATGGGGTATGTTGTTCCCAGAAAAGTCTGGTGAGTGAGTACGTTAAAGTGACTGAACTGGTGGGACATGTTTAATTGTCTGCTATAAACTTGGAAGTTATTGAAAGGAGCTTGTTCAACTGAACTCTGTTTTTCTCCTTCAGCAGAGCATGTTGTAGAAACTGAAGTAATTGGTTGTATCTCTTCCAAGTCAGTTTTAGAAGTCTCTTCCATCAAGCCAATTTGTGCTTCAGGAGATACCTCTGTAACTGATAAGCAGCTTGCTTTTGCATCTACTCCATGTGAGCCCTTGGCCTCTGTCTGCAAAGCTTCCAAATGAGTATCATACTTAGAGGCATCACTGCAGATTTCTATTTGTGATGTTTCATCCCCTGAATCCAGAGACATGTCCTCCTCATCCTTTTCATCGCTTTCTACAAGAACTACATTAAGAAAAAAGAGAAAATCCTATTCTATTGAAATACAAACTTTTGTTAGAAAAGCTATGCGCTACTCACGCTTCAGGTCTGTAAGTCCAATATCACTTAAGTCTTGGTCTTCTGCCACTCTTGTTCACTTACTCAACATACACACTTAACCCTCTGTGAGTGTCCAGTTATTCCGATGCTAAAAGCTTCTGCGCATTGTGTTCATGTTTAGTGTTGGGAAATCCCAACTCCCAGCTCCAAAGGGGTTAATGTCAAAACAGCATCTAAAGTTACACAGCAGGTGAGTATTTGATCAGACAATTAAAGGAGTACAATTACTGACATCTCAGTCCTTCTGTTACGCTTTCTAAAACCTATCATTAAGTTTATCCTTCTCCTGAAAACAGACTGTTACACCACTTTGGCGTACATCTGACTTTCTCAAACACCATGTTAGGCTACAACTCTGTATTTAAGATCTCCTTTGGTGCTCCATCCCAGCTGCTTTTTCCCCAGCATTTAAAGAAGAAAAAGAGTAGCTTGAGAGTTGGGTTTTCCTTGCCATCTGTAGTGTTCACTTACAAGAATAAAGGACCTCCACCCCACACATCTAATTAACTAAAGACAGTGTAAGTGCATTCATGTTACCTGATTGTCTTTTGGGAGCATCAGAGGGAGGAAGGCTGTTTTCTTCAGTAACAGAGTTGTGATACCCAACAAGAATTTTAAAATTTTGCATAAAGTCATCAACAGTAGCAACCACTATTCCGTTATCGATGTAATTTGAAAGTGTTTTGAGATTCTTTTCTAAATACATAAAAGGAGAATTTGTATTAATATTTATTTAGCACTTACCAAAAGGGGGAGAGAAGTGTTCATAAACTTTGGGTTTACCTGTTAAGAAGACAACATGTCTCTGCTGTATGTTTTGAGCCTGAAGCCTGATAAGGCAGTCTAATTCTGGGGCATTTCGAGTTTGAGAATCACAGTTATGATAAGACAGAATCTCAACCAAGTGCTGCTTTTGATAGGTATTCAGAAGGGTCAGCAGACTCAGGGCATTAGCATTCATTCTGTAATGGGGGGGGAAAAAGCACACTATTAGAAAGATCATTCTAACATTTAGACTGACCCTAAATCAAGTAAGTCAAAAGACAAACATAAGAGTGAGTTTTCCTTCACTGGGCTTTGGAAAGCGTAATTAAAGCTGAAGCATTTTGACAACTGGTATTTGAAGAACACGACTTACCTCCCCAGCTCTTTAAGTTTTTTTTGTATCTTACAGTGGACTTTCCACTGCCATTTTCCATCTGGGGTATTGAGATCCTCCAGAAACTTTAAGAACTGTTTTAGTTTATCTGTTTTGGAGATATTGAATAGAAGTTAAATTTTGCAGTATGAACACTGAAGATACTGCTTTAGTATATACATAAAGCTTCTTTCAGTTTTCATCAAAGCAGTGACACAACGGTGAACACTGGCCTAGTTCTTTGGGGTTTCTTCCTACCTGATCAGCCAACATCATTCCACAACCAAGCTGCTTTTTTGTGGGTCGGATGCCTAACAGTGCTATCTACTTATGCAGACGCTGAATTCAGTCCTACGGGGTCTGCCTTGCTAAAATACCCATTTAGAAGACTAGTAACTTCATTAACTATTCAATTTCAAATAAAGAACAAGTGAAAGAATGTACTTTTTCAGTATTTTTTTCCTAGCGGATTTGTGGATCGAGTAGTAAGGAATAAAAGGTTCCACATGCGTAACTACACAATCTAACACAAACTTAGTTCCAAGTTCACATGTTCCCCAAACAGGCCACTGACATAAGAGACAGACCCAAATTAGCTGAAGTTCTCCAAAAAACCTCACAAAAATTAAAAGACTTGATTCTTCACTGCAACGAGTACGGCATCTCTCTCATATACTAAAATATTAGGCTTTTTTTGTCTGTGTTTAAAGCTTCAGGAAGCATCACACTTACCTGTGGTGATGGCCTCTGGGTTAAGGACAGATTCATCTGACACAACAAAACCACCAGACACAAACAATTCATTGTAAGTGTGATTTTTCACATCATCCAAACTGTCGACACCCGCAAAGCTGACACAAGAAAGCCTCTTCAAAGTTACTAAGCCAGGTATCTGTTTAGAAACATTACACATCAGAGGTATGCCAAACATCATGGGGAAAAAAACCACGACAGAACTTTCCTGCTTATTAATACCAAATATCAAACTTCAAAACACATTTTCAAAGAATTACTATTTTTTCTCTTGCCTGGGAGGTGCTCTCTCAGAAATGTTACAGGAATGAGACAATGGAAGTTGAGCACTTAGAATAATTTCACTTTCTGTCCAGCACAGCTTCATAAACCACAGCTGTGAGGGGTACCTAAGGGAATCCAGCAGCTGCCTTCACTTGCCAGTAGAGCATCACTGAAGCAGAACCACTCGGGCCTCTGTACACCTTCACAACTACTAAGAATAACTCTGCATTAGCACATATGTGGAGGTGGCAGAAGTTACAGGTATATGATGTGACAAGACTAGCTATTGACCACAACCATCTTTGCTTCCTCAAATGGCAAAAGAGCACAGGACCTCTTTTAAATGCTGTGTTGTTAGGAGAAAGTAGCCTTACTCAAAGTGAGCTCATCTCGCTATGTTTTAGCAGTAGCTTTCTATAGTACACATTTACGTATCTGAAATACCTTATGGATGAGGTTGGCGATGTCTTCGTTTTGAATAATTATCAACAGTTTATCTAAAGCAGCTCTTCTCTTAAGGAACTGTTCCGGATGGCACTCTGTATTACCTAACTTTGTAAGGTACTCCTAACATCACAGAAAGAGAAGATGGTGAAGTGAATAGGTAGTTCGGCCAAAACAGTCCCCACAGTAACTTTTCCACCCAAATGAATCTCCGACAGACTGGTTTCCTTGTCTTTCTGATACGTTCATTGGAAGGATGCAGGAACACAGAAATAGGCTGTTGTAGCAAGTCAGTCCTTCTTACAGAATTGCACATAAATGGCCAACTGACCGCCTATCAAAACTGCACGAGTTTTCAAGTAAAGCCAGAAGTTTTTGTTATTTTACTTTCAACTTTCATCTTCTACATTTAAATACAGAAGACCAGTAATCCGCAAGAGTTACCTGTACCATTTCCCGGAGGGGAAGGAAAAATAAAACCCCAACCCACACGCATCGACTTTCCATGTTCTCTCTCAGATGGTAAGCTATCACAGTTTTGCCCTTGATATCTTTTTTCTGTAAGGCTGCCCCCAGCAGTATCTTCAGAAAGAACCAAACTACAGCCTGTTCTGCTTTCCAACTATAAGAAAGAGTCTTATCTAACAGCTAAATATAAGCAAGACTACCTCAGAAGCTCAAAGAAATGGGACAGGACAGCCTACTTTCATCATTCACTCTTTTTTGAAACAAGTTTCAGACTACCTTATGTTTGCAAGTCCAGTTTTACACATTCTGATTTGAAAGGCACTCTGTTCTATTTTAACACTATAGAGAGGTTGAACTAGAACATATTTACCTTAATTTCTTTGCAGAGAATGCTTTCCTCCTCTTCATGAATATAAAATTTCACAGTGTTTTTCTGCACATCTTTAATAATTTTGACCAAACTGTTAAATACTTCAGGTTTTAACTGGCTTATAAAATCAGAAAGGGCTGGTTGGGTTGAAATGTTTAAGTTCTCTGGGGATTTCTGTGTCTTTTCTGGTGGCTCCCTCAGATCACCACTGCAAGAGGTTTGATCCAATGTCAACATATCTTCTGTTTTTGCATTCCCAAGATCTATTTCCTCCTTCACTAAGGGTAAGCTTGATGAACGTTGCTCATTAGAATCCACATCTTCCACCACGTTATTACACAATGGCTCTGGTAACAATGACGCGTCAGAGTCCCTGCAAACAGGTAACGTGTCGGGTGGAGGATTCAGTGCAGCATTAGTAACCACTTCTGCCGATTCAGGACTGGAATAAATGGGTGGAGTATGCCTAATGCACGAAGAGGACAAAATAACACTATTCAACTTCTCACTCAGTGACTCTATATATTCTTGGACAGAAATCTCTGATGCCTGTAAACAGATGTACTCAGAAAGTCTCATCATCCTCTCTCGGGCAGAAAAGACTGGTGTGGACACACCACTAACATAAGCAATATTCTTTTGCTGCAAAATTTCTTGAATCTTTCTTGCAAAGAGATTATATTCTTCTAATAATGTAGTCTCTATTATTGCACTAATGGAATGCTTAGTTGTAAAAGGGTGATCTGCTAGCCCACACTCATCTTCAAGTTTCTCCACTTGTCTTGTACAAAGTCCATCTTCTGCTGTCCCCTTTTGTGTGTCTGAAAATGGAGAGTATGGAAACTGATAATCAGAACTTCTCTGTCTATGTATTACCCGGGGGTCATTAGGAAAGGCATCCTTTGGCGGTAAATACACCAGTGGCTCTTCTGGTGATTTCAGACCTATATAGGAAGAGTTAATCACCATCATCTCATGTTGAAAGTCGTAACACAACTGATACATTAAAACTTCCACAACACAGTTTTAAACCAGCATTACTGTTGTGCGTCCCCCCACCAGTCAACTTAAATCCAAAGACTCAAGTGTACAGAGCACAAAAAATTTCATAGGTCCTAAGATGGCAAAACAATAAAGCCAGAGTTTGCCCAAAAAGCAGAACACAAGTAATTTTCCCAGGGATAACATCTGATTAAGCATAGCAAGAACTGCCATCATTACAAAAAAAAAAAAAAAAAAAAAAAATCAAAGTAGAAATCAAGCAGAGTGACAAATTACTCAAATATTGTCATTTGCTACTACCTGACAAGCCTCAGACTTTCAAAAGCTTATTTTAGCCACACACTATGTTGTGGAGTTAGACTGCGAATTGCAAGCTCCATGTCTGACCTCGCAATTGAGAACAGAAGGTTTTTTGCTTTAAAAGGTTGGACATAAGTCTTATGGTAATTATTGATACACAGAATCAGTCATGTTGCAAGGAGTGCTGAAAGCCTCTCATAATCCAAACCTCAGATCATTTCTGCAGCACTCAGTTTCTTCACCATCCATATTCAAAACTATGGTTTTGTTTTTAAACCAAATTTGACACTTTGTTGCAATTAATGATATGTATACACAGACATTTCAGATACATAGAGGTATTTCAGTATATACCTGTTCTGTAAATACTTCAAAGGAGGATTTCTTTGTTGATTTTGTTTGAGAGTTTTGGGTTTGGGTTTTTTCTTTCTTTCTTTAAGTGTTGTATTATTGTTAAAGCTAATCCAGAAATCTGTTTTTCTGCTTGCAACTAACAGAAGCAATAATCAAAATAGTATAGACAGTTTCTAAAAGTTACTATTCTTTTGGAATGTGTCACTTTTGTAAAATTTCAACTCCTAAGGTTACTGGAAAAAAACCAAAACCAATCCACTCATCCTGATTTCATGCAAAGTTTCTGTAACAACTGTATTAGGAAAAAAGATCTATATGATTAAGAACTGATTAGGTTATTCTTCAAAGGTTTTTCCAGAAAGAAAGAAACTTTGTTTTAAAAAACAAAAGCCTTTCTTTTTGCTAAAGATTTTTTATTAAAAAACATTAAGCAGAATTTAAACAGAAAGATATACTGCTGAATATGAAACCCAAAATATTTTCTAACGTGTAAAAAATCAGAATTAAAAAATAAAGTAAAAGGATGATTTAAACTAAAGTTACCCTTATTTAAATAGAATTCTCTGAAGGTGGCATCCTTCATAGATCTACACCTTTGGGTCACAAGTCTTCACAAAAAACAAATGCATGAGCAAGGAGCGAAATCCAAATAAACAAACATTCGACAACTATTAAAGCATGTTTTATGATTTCAAACATACTCTTTGTTGGTAACACTTTGTAACTGGATATATCAAAGAAACGAAAGAGAGAACTGCCTGAAAGCAATCTTAGAAAGAACAGCTGTTTAAGAGCTGCTGAAGTAGTTATCCTTGCAGATTAAGTCAAATTCTAAACTGCTTAAGAGAGGTCCTTCTACAGTGACTCCAGAAAGAGGATTCCTGGGTAGATTTTGAAATCAGAAATTCAAACACCACCTGACAAAGCCTAGAACATACTGTTTCTTCATATCCAAAATGACTTGTCATCAAAAGCCATCACTTAAGAATGTCTATTAATGCATTAATCTTCTCTTAGAAGAGAAGGAAGAATAAGCAAGAGCAAACACCATGTTTGCGCTTAATGTCTAAAACCAAAGAAAAGTCTCAAATTCAAACCAGAACTGAGTCAGGATGGGTTTGTTAAGGCACACGTGTGCCGAAGGTAGCTTTCAAAACTAAGACTCACATTTGCTTACCATTGTCTGAAGTTGACATTATGTAATCATGAAGAACCGAACAAGAACATGATACAGAAGCAGTCCAGATGAGTTGAAGACCTATGAACAACTGTCTCCAACACTTTCTGACGTTGTCAGGTAAGAAGCAAGACAAACCTCCCACTCCTCAAGTCACAAACTACGAAGAGTTAAGTTCTTAAAGTAAGTTTAGCTGAACACGATCCCTGTGTCAAAAGTAAAATATATTTTTGTTTAAAAAGAATAAATATTATATTGCTAATTTGCCTTCCTGCAATTGTAAAAAAAGAAAGATTGATGCTCTCTGAATTCCTTTCTACAGCTACCTTACTACAAAAATGAGAGACATGGAGAAACCATCAGATTTAGAAAGCAGTTTCAGAAAAGAGCAAAGCTTCCTTTAAATTTTGTATTACTGAATTGATCTTAATTCCCTAGAATAAAATTTCAAAGCCCTCTAGAAGATACTATACAGGAAGATATGCCCACTAAAAATCGCATGCCAGTAGCCCAACACATTAGAGACTCCTCTGACTTGATGTACTTCAATAAAGTGAGTCCACTTGCTGAATAGTGTATTACTGATCTAACTTTCTGATGAAAATTCAATACCGGGTGAGAATACAAGCTGCTCAGTAGTTCAGACCATAATGACGCACACAAACCATCCCACCTACTCTTCTCACTTGTTTACTTCCATGTTTTTACAGCTGATCCTCCTGAGGGACTGCAACAGTTACCATTTGTAGAGTTTCTTGGTATTTATATAGCCCCCTTTACATGACTATATTGCAGAGCTAGTCAATACTTATTGCAGCAAGAGCTAATTTGAAGAAATGACCTCACAGGAACTCAAGAAATCCAGTGATGTTCAAGACAATCTTTCATCTCTAGAGAACAGCACTTCTCCCTCCCACAACACTTCAGAGAATTTTTTTTCCTAGTAAGATTTGTAGTCTCACAGATGACACTGCAATGTGTCAATTGACAAACCTTGAACTCCCACATTCAGCAACTATGACGTATTACAGTTTTTAGATGCTTAATCATCCATTTAACTAGTTATCTCAGCAACCATATCTTTGTCTATATACACAGCATCCACTTCCTCCAGGAGTAAAAGAAAAAGTCCTATCCAAACAACTTCACAGTGCATACTCTGTAACTTAGCAAACTTTCAGAACATATTTTTGACGTTTGGCCCTCAAAGAAAGTGTGGAAAATGTTATCCAGAACTACCCTGTCATTTTGTTGAAAGGCCTATGGATACTGTGACAGGAAACCTGTTTCGCCTGCCCTCCTCCCTTCTCAGCCAAACAAAAAAGAGCTGCTGAACTACACGACTGGATGGATATCAGAAGTGTACAAGAGACAGATTCCAGCACTCCTGGAACATGATCAGAAATCAGTAAGTTTCTACTCAGAGAACGCAGTTAAATTCTATCTGCATTTACTCATACAATGACTTGATTTGTAGCCTTCAATCTAGAGCTCTTAGATGACTATTCCTACAGCCCAGTTTCCACATCCTTCAGATCCATGCTTTTATGCTCTTCCAAGACTTGACACTGTTGACTCATCGAGTAGAACAAGCAGCTGCTTCTGTAAGATTATTTAAGATTTAAATGTTCAGATAAGGACAAAGACTGAAGCACTTCTCATTGCACCAAGCTCTTCTGCTGGAAGTAGACTACTTACTATAAGGAGAACACATTATTCATTACTCGTCTGGATTACTAGTTGCAATTATCTACCTGTCCAATCTTTCAGCAGAACCTAGCAACTTCAAACACTGAATTCAAAACAGTTATGTACCTCACCAGATAAATACTCAAGCATTCACATTTCTAATTATGTCAGTATGTACCCAAAGCAATATTCTCCACCAGGATCTGTTTTTAACCCAGCAGATTTCTGTATTAATCAAGTATCAGAAGCAACTGCATAGGCTATATATAAATATGCTTGTGTACCAATATCTGACCCAAGGATGGGATCTATGAAAGACACAAACCTTTAGAACATGTTTTCATTCACTATTTGTAGCAACATAGGAGTTAAACCCATCTTACCTGTAATTGGAATAAGTTTCCAGTGCATTCCAACTTCTCCTGTATTAGTTGAGTTGGAATGTTGCCTGCGATAAACAGGTTCTATAGGTGTACTAGGACAGGGACTGTAGTCTTCAAAACTACTTACACTTCCAGTGCTTGCTTCCTAAAAAACAACAAAAATTGTCAGCTCAAAACTTTTTTTTTTTTTTTGGTAGCTATCAAGCTTTTACATTCTGAACAACTGATGGTAAGAACGCACCTGAGTTCACCAGCATATTGGCAATTTTGCTGTCAATCAAGTCAAGTCAAACATGGAAATGTTTGCATGAGGTACTTATATATTTAATTGACCTGTTTGATAATTTCTGAGACAGATGTCTTTGCTGATGGTCTATCATTAAGTAAATAAGGCAGTCCTGAGCACATGCCTTAGAGTACAGAAGGTGGGTGGGGCAGGGAGGAAAGAAGGCAAAGAGAGGAAAAAATTAGGAAAACTGCCTGCTTCTTAGCCTTTTTCAGGCTGTTGTCTTGACAGCTGACTAAAGCCATGAGATGTTGCCACTACTGAGGAACTGCCTGCAACTAGCATTAAGCCCTGGAACAATCCAATTTCATCTCACATTCCAGATGGTTAGAAGCAAAACAGCACTGAGGTTACAGGTACAACAAACTCTTTCCTGCTCCATGACTTGGAAACTGGGCTTTGTGTAGAAGTTTCAATAACAGAGACCACAGACCAACCACTCTGTAGAGCCATGTGATGGAGCAAGCAGCTGGGGCACTCTGAACCCTAAGCACAAGAGCCTTCTTCAAAGGGCGTTCTGCCAGTTACGGGCTGTCATGAAAAGTATGCATGGAACACAGACACCACTGCACCAAGAGGGCACATAAAGAGAGCTAGGCGTGTGTTTAAGTGCTCAGAATTTTTCAACTTTGCTCCCGCCAAAACTAAATACAGCCAATTCCCCAACCATCTTCAATATCCATAGAGTATTTAAGATCTTCCCACTATGCATATTTCTTAATGCTTTCTCACTCAGACACTGCGAAACAAGCCCATCATCTTTTCCACAGTACCAGATCGAAAGATGAGGATTGCAGGATCCTCACTTGTGCACGAAAGTGAGGGGAGTTTTCCTGCCCTATAAAATGCCTGCTACGATTAAGTAAGAGAGAGAATACACTTTGAAGAGGCTGGACCAAGACCGATTCCCAAAACTGGAGCAGTACAATTAGAGCAAAAGGATGCTCGATGATTGTAAAGCAGTACGAATCACTTTGTTAACCCTGAGATATTGTTGCTAGAAGAGGTCACTAGCTCACACACAGAAACAGTCAGCTGCGATAAGCTGATGCCATTGGGGTTTTTTTTGTTTGTTTTTAAGATAATAGTCCAGAACCCATAAAGAATATTTCATTTCCAGAGACAATCAACTTAGTTTTGCCAATCTATCAACACAAGACAGACAGCTATCATTAAAAGGAAACAGCTCTCATTCTGCTTCTCTACGCTAGCTATCGATCACCTGTGGATAAACATTCTTGTTTAAGATACCTCCAACCAAATCTAAATATCAAATACAGATTGCAATGTGACTTCTTTCACTTTCTTACTTATGACAAGAAAGCAACAGGCTGAAAAATGTCTTGAAATTATACAGCCTACAACTGATATATTTGGTTTTGCTTTGCATTTGGGGGGAGAAGAGGGAAGAATTCTGGCTGCAGACACTTTGAAAGAGATTGTCTCAACTTAGATCTGGGACAAGCCTGGTGAAAAAAGGCTTGTTTCTGTGCCTGAGATGGAACTTCACAATCATGATAAGCTGTCATATCCCAACCACTTATCAGGTCTATAAGGTTAAAGACTAAGTAGTACACAATCATTCATGGCCTGACCTGCAACCATTGTTAAGACAGAGTTCATATGGAACAGCAACTATCGCCTTAAAACCTACTTTCGGGAAGAGTAAGAGCTAGACAATAATATGATGAGGAACTCTCAACTCTCTCCTCGCTGCGTTTCAGGTTCAGCAAACCCCAACAACCTAGCCAGACCAAGAATCACCCCTGAAGGAAGAGGAAGATTGAAAACAGGATGCAAACCGTTACAGGAACACTACACTTATTCCATGCAACAACTTCACAGATTGCTGAAAAATCCCACCACCATAAGCAAGGTGACAGCCAGAACAAAGTATCTTTTTTCCTACAAGCGACAAAAAACAAATGCAAGGCTTTGGTCTCAGCAAACATGAAAAACCACCCTCATATACAGCACTCCGCAAAAGAATGACAGCAGTTTTGCTGCCTATTGCTGGAGCAGCTGCATATGACACAACATAAAGCTAGCGAGGAAGACCGACCATGGCTGCTTTCCATCTTTCGGGTATTCTTAATTAAAATTTTATTACAGAACGAGTAGACATAAAGAACCTGGAATACACAACTTAGAGTTAAGAAAATTTCAGTATACGCTCCTACCAAACAGAAAAGCTTCTTATCTATGTTTACCTATGTAAAGAAATAGAATGGTTTTTTATTCAGTCTCATATTCATGAAAATAGTACATTTATTATCATCATCTACCTACATGCCAGTTTCACTTACTTTTAAACGTAGCGTGTGTTCAAGGCCTACTTCATTAGCTGAAAGCCGTAGATCAACATCAACAGGGTAGGGTAAACACGCTGCATCAGCTTCCAGTATCACTGGGCTCTGTGGGTCCTTGAAGTTAACATTTTCAGCCTGAGCAGTATTAGGAAGCTCACGATCATCTTTGTCCTGTGCTTGAATGGATTCATATTCATATTTTTGTCTCATATCCTCTTCAATTTCATCAGTGCTTAGTCCTAAAGCTTGATTTACAGATCGTGCCAACGATGAATCCAAGTGTCCTGCACTAGCTAGCGTTTCTAAAAGCAGTTTAATGAGGCCATGTGTGTCAGTAACAGCAGGGCTGGATACATCTTGCTGCCTCAAGTCAGTATCATGTCCACCAAGACCAGTATTAACTGAGAAAACAGAGTGTGGCGAATCCGAGGTTCTGCCCCCTTAGAAAAGGGGGAAGAGGGGAAAAGTAATCCATTACTAAGTTTTTTAAAAAAAAAAAAAAGCAAAACCAGCACACACCCCCCAAACAACTGCCACATACCCACAGTCTTACTCTTTAACATCAATTCATACAGTACATTTATTTTCTTAACAAAAAATATTAAACAGGTAGATATTGATAAAAGGGCAGTTTCTAAAGCTAATAGTCTCTTTGAGATAAATAATTACATTTTTTAGCTCACTCAATACCACACTATTTTATGTTTTAATAGAAGTCACATACTATGATATATGTATTTTATTGAAACCTTGTAAAATTCTCCATCGCTTGCCAAGAGAAAAAGATTAGTTTGAGCAAAATATTTACTTCTCTCCACCCTATCACTGTTGCTCCAGAAGCTGGTAAGTATCTTAATGTCAGAAGTTATCTTAGACTAAGCACAATTCTAAAACTTTACCATGCGTATTTATACTAAATGTAACTTTAGAACAGGATTATTGTTCTTCTACTCATCTCCCCAGATGAGTAAATACCATAGGTATTTATTCTTCTTGGGAAGAGACTGGCCAAGGAACTACTTTAAGTATCTGATGAACCCCTAACTCATTTATCATATATGGAAATATGGAACTGTTTAAATGCTGTTTGACTAATAAAAATGTAATCATGTTTATAGATATGTAAGCTCAGAATATTTTAGGTAAGATTTTTTGCAAGACAAACAAATTACTTTTAGGGCTGTAGAAAAACATGGAAATCAAACCATAAATAGATGTTGCTGTTTTGGTACCCATTAAGGAGTTCAGTCAAAATTTAAACAGATACTGTTCTGATTACAGCCAGGTAGAAATGCATTAACATATTTTACATTAATAATCAATGTAAAAAGAACCTGAAGGTTCACAGACTTCCAAGCAGGAATGCCAAGATCTAGCATGTAGCCTGCCCTCTGTCTCCTCCATTCACACATGCCAGCATCTTTTCTCCCTCTCAAAAGGGAAACTTATTCCTAAGATCAGCCACTTCATCTTCCAAAGTGATTCATGTACATGAGAATGACTGGTGCTTGATGTAAACCCCCCTCTTCTTTGTGCCACTCTTCTCCCCAATTTTCCCGCTGCTGAAGGAGGCCTATATCATTGCCCTGAGAAAAGGGTCGGTCAGGGAAACAGAAATCAAAGGGGGTTTTTTGGCAGATCTTAAGTAAGTATCAGAAAACACCTGTGATAATTATTTGACGTTTCGATGTACATAATTTCATGTACAGAATAATTCACCCTTAATACTATGAAGTTGTTTCCCCTGTCCCACTACACACATTACTGGCTATTTCAAAACTTAACTGTGCTCATGCTTAGAAGTTTAAATCTCGCCTTCAAGCTAAATTGATTAGGTATCATACAGGGTATTGGAACCATAAAGAATTACAGCAATGCCTAAAATCAAACTCTGCAAAAGACATTACGATATCACGTCTGCTTAGTACTCTATATTAGAAAATCTCTGGACAGTTCCACAGCTAAGCAACCTGTTTGGAAGTCTGCCTTCTTTCCAAAGAGGGAGAACAAAAGAAGCTTCCATGACAACTTGTCTCCTAGAAAGAGGCAACCTACATAAAAATAAGCTTCATCTCTATTGACAGATCTCGGGCAAATATTTAAATGAACCACCATGCATTAAAATATCCACAGTATGCAAAAAATATTCAATCTTAAAAGATTAAAAGTTAAGTGTGCTTTGAATTACAATGTTTAAAGAGGATCTCTCAACAAAGACTTTCTTACCTTCATACTGACAACTATTCTCTGAAGATTCACTCATTTTTAAGTATTTCCGCAAATTTTCAGACTGTTTTTCCAGCTTCCTTTTCAGACCACTTTTATGTCTAGGGTCTTCAGAATCAGAATCTCCACCTACATTTTTTTTCCTACACTGGATTAAGTTAATAAGTTCTTTGAGTCTATCGGGATCATAATCTCCAGAATGAGGCAGTTTTCGCTTGGCAGCAGTGGGTTCATATTGTGCACAGTTTCTTTTCCTGCTTTTTGCATTGGCAAAATCAGAGTCTTCTTCTGTGGCTTCATAATCTGAGATGGGACTGAACTGTTGAAGTTTCCGATTTCCCTCCATCAATTCCTTAGCTCTAGAAACAGGTAGTTGATATGCCTCACAACCAAAAATATAGTTTTGCAAGGAGCTGTCAATATGAGATTTATTTTTTGGAGCAGAATAAAGAAATTTTTTGTCATCCAACCGTGATTCATACCGATACAATACAAATTCTCTATATTTTCCAGAGCCACTACAGCATCTTTTCAAATACTCATTTATATACTTTTCCACAACAGCATTGAAATCTGCAGTAGCGTCTTTACGAGACTGGATTAAAGCAAAATGTAGAGACTGAATAAACTTTGTGAATTCTGGAATGATTTCCTGATTGTCGTGCAATACCATGGTAGTTGAATTTTTCTGTGTTCCAAATGGAACACTTTTGTGTGCTGCCATAGGAGAAAAGGGAATTTACAATTAAAATCAAATCATAATGCTATAAATAAATGATGACTAGTTAGCAATATTCTGTATTATACATATTTGGTGAAATACAGTTTGGAATGACTGTGGAGAAATGACCCAAAAGCCAGGAAAGAACTTTTTTTGTGAAGTAATCAGCTTTAAAGTCTACTTAAATGTCAACCTAGTCATAGTCATGAGAAATTGCTCATTTTCATAATTTTGTGGTAACCTGTATCCTAGATACACATATCATTGCCATTTAAGCCTCTCTACTGACCCTTCTAGAAGAAGGCCACTTCAAAGACATACTAAGGTTTACTGAGCAGCACCCTAACAGCTCCCTTGAAGAACAGAGGAAGCATTCCTATGCAATCCTGATGCATTCATTATGCTGCTTCTAAACTCACTGGACCCTTATAAAATTATTCAGCTTAGTAACCCCAGCAGAAACCTACAGAGTTTTTTTTACAGTCCTTTGCAAAGCAATACAACTCACTAAATCGAAGAGCTGCAACAGAGCATGTGTCAAGAGCAGGATTTCCCTGTCCTGGGAAGCTGTTAGGTCCTTTTACCACATCCTTGAAACAGCAGCTCAAGGAAGCCCTAATCACATTCTTTGATTTTATTTGTTTATTCACACTCTTCCCCCCTTCCAATCACAGACTGAAACTTTTCTCCATTCAACCATTTAAGCACCTCTGAAGTCTCAAACCAGTGATTAACCATGTGTTTGACAGAAACTGGAGCTCACAAATCTCTGAAATGTCACAGCAGCAAGAACTGGAGTATTTTAAGGAACTGGCATGCACGCACTTTAAATGTGTTATTTTATATCATATCTCCTCTTACCCAATCTAGAACTGATTGAATGTTCACAATTGTTACTTAAATAAAAAAAACATAATGGGGTTATTAAAATAAGAAATACAGAGGCAAGAATCTATGAAGCTGCCAAGACTTAGGACAAGAACTTCTTTGTAAAAGGGAATTGCCTGGGAAGAGCTATGTTTTGACAGTATCACTTCTAACTCACAGTAGGCCAAAAAGGACTGCACTCTGCTGCTAGCACTACTTATGGCAAATTTCAACTGCAAAAGATTAAAGTCTTGTCCCAAAGCATTAAAGTTCTACTAAAGTCAAGTCCTTTCAGTCATTTTTTACTACCTGAGTGTACCGATATTTTCTTTGCTCATTTACTCAGTTTTTGGTGCGTATTTCAATGCAAAAAAAGGAGATAGTTACAGGTACATTAAAGACTTTCAGATGTTTTGTCCTTAATGATATGATGATTAAAGAAAACCTTCAAACCTCTTAAGTGCAATGTTATTACTAATGCATAGATCTCTTGGAATACTGATGCTCAGTTCTACTAGAATACACGATCAAGATGTTTGAACAAAATTTCTAAAACATGAACAACTAAACCTAAAACGCGCAGTGTGATAATTACTTTTGTGACGAAAACGCTTTTTGAACATCATCACCACAACCAATGCAAACTGTTATTCCTAGTTTAGACAGGCAGGTTGTAACACTACAAAGTCTACAACTACAAAAAAAAAGACTACAAAGTCTTCAACAGAATAAACTACATTTAAATAAGCACATACTCAACAGTGAACAAACTTACTTGAGCTCATTACACCTCTAGGTTCTGGAAACAGAAACAATGCATGTAGCACGCGGGGCCGTCCAGTTTGGTGGTCTAGAACACAAGAAAATAACATCAGTTGAGAAGTCGTACACTATGCTTCAGAAGTATTGAAAAACTCAACTCCCTTTAAAAACAAACAAACCCAAAACCAACTCAAAAACAACAAACCCAAAAAAAGTATGCATACCATAAGGGGACATCATTTGCCAAGGAGAAAGAAGAAAAAGAAATCCTCTGTCCAGAAGTGGTTTCACAAGAACCTGTTTTCAAGCAAAAAAAGCATACCATTTCAAACAAAGACATTTACTCACTATGAATAACTCTTACTGTCTGCAAGGTAAATTCCATCATGGATAGAGAAGTGCCCTGATACAATACTTAAGAATATGCCAACTAAGGAATTCCAGCGAGATCATGGATCTTGTAGTACACCTCAACTACTAGTTAGTAATATAATTTTTAGAAACAGGAAACTCACAAGTTTCTCTTTCTCCAGTTTTTGAAGTAAACCCTCCAAGTGAGTACCAGAACGGGACTTCTCCACAACTTCATAAAGGCTACAGTACATGCCGTTCTTCAACACTGATGTGATACAAGGGTAGAAAGAGAAGGTAAGAAAAACAGAAACAAAATTGTGATTCAGAAAACTTGTTAAAATTCTGAATTTTAAAAAATTAAGCTAGAACTAATTACCTTCTCTTGCTCCTAGGTAAGTTTCTTTATAGAACAACGCTGGTGACATTTTTTTCTTCAATTGATCCATGCTCACAACTTTGTCAACCTCAAGCTTCTCAGGACTGAAGGGTGGGGAGAGGGAGAAAAAAAAAAAATAAAGATGTCTTTTTCCCCCCCACCCCATAGTCCTACCCTCATTGACCAAATAAGAACTATCAAATACACGCTCTTAAAAATCAGTTCCTTGGACTGAAGTGAGCCACTGTTTATTCCTGCAAAGGAGCATGTGTCACTTCAAAGGAAAAAAAAAACCACCAACCCAAACCAACCAACCAACCAGACATGCTGACAGAGTGGTGTGCATGAACTAAAAGCGGCTCTGGACATGCATGACTCAAGAGTCTAGCTTGACACATTTAAAGTGTCTCATCAATGTGTATTTTAAATTTTCATCTGAATATATCCAAGCTTCACCAACCTCTATTAGAAGGAGATTTAACACAACTTACTCTTTAAATGGTAATACTCACAGCTTGCAAGGAAGGAAAGGACGTGCTGCTGATTTCAAGGAAACATGGCATAAAAGTTTGCCTTTATTCCAAAGCTGCCCTCTCCATAATGTATAGCTAGATTTATCTAAATTAAGATGGAGAAAGAAAGACTAAGTGAAACCACTTGCTAGGTGGGACTGAAACAAAATGGCAATAAAGAGGCTGCTGAATCTCCACCAAAAGCAGTTGGGGAAAATTTCATACTATTACCAGACCAGACAGTAATAATTTAAATAGTAAGTTAAAAGGTAACAGAAAGGGTGTTTACAATCCTATCGTGTTTTGACCTGCTCTGAGCAGAGTAAAGGAGGTCAGTATGTTACTTGTACCTGTCTATATAAGCATGTCCTTGATGCCAGCATCTGTGGAATGATACCCTCTTTCCTTACCTTAGTTGTCAATCACTTTCATACATATTAATATTTTGCTTGAATGTGGTTCAAAAGAAAAGCAGGACAGAGGATCATATTATTTGAAGTGCCATTGAACAGCAGATTTGGGAACAGAAAATAAGTTCTTACTATGCTATAAGTAGAAGGGAGAGGAAAAAACATGTTTGATTTTGTTCAGTTCTAGTAAAAGAAGATACACATTAAGGGGTCTGTTCAATCATCCAATATGAGGAAGAAATGCCTACAATCAGTATGGTACAGGATAAAACTCAGGTATGCATAACTAAGCAATCATTCCAGTTAAAGATAAGTAAAACTACATACGGAAAAAAAGTCCAAAACTTTCCATGTCTGTATTGTAAAAGCAGTAAACTTTAAATCATTCTTACCTGAACTTCTATCTGTGTTGAAGCTGTTTGATCTAACAAAAAGACAAGACATAATGACTAGGTTGAGACAGAAACTTCTGACTACTAAATTTTACGTTAAGGATATATTATCAGTCTAACAAAATAGCAACACTGATAATTCGCTCTCTAACCTCAAGCTATCACTCCTGCAGCATCTTGTGCTACTTTAAGTATCTTGATAACTATTTTTAGCGTTATATAGTACAGTCCCCACATCTGGATGCCTTCCTATCAGCAAAGGTATCGTATTGTATCTGCAATCCACTACCCATTCAGAGATACTCTCTCCACAAGCAATAAGATGAAACTAGTGAAGAACTCAGTGACAAAGTACACAGAACATCTTTTTTAGAATATCAAGCAAGATAATGCTGTGAACATTTTTATGTCTCTGAATTTCCTCAGTTAAGCAGTGAAAAATCACTTTATACAGGGAATCCACCTCAGCAGAAGGTGAGTAGGTGAAAAGAGCAGAACTGCTTCCTACAGGGGCCAGCTGGTTGCATAAAACCAATTTTGTCGCATCTTGCTTTGCATTAGAAGTATTTATTATGCTAAGTCCCTGTGACATGTTCATTAATTTCAGCACTGTTCACCTAAATCAATTCTAAGCTATTGCCAAGAGCTGTGAATTCTTCACACTGCATGCAGTCTTTCCAAAACTCATTTCCTAGCTTACCTTGATGAGGGCGAAAATTTTGGTACTTGCACCGTTTCATCTTTGTAAGTAAACGAAACCACAGCATAAGGACAAACATGTCTTGGCCTTCGCCTTATCTCATCAAAGCCATATTCATAAAAATAGTACTAGAAAAAGAAGTGAATGCAATGTTCAATTAAAAGTCTGGTAAACCATATTTTACAAATATACTAACAATCCATCACCTTCCTTCACTGAAAAGTGTACTCTGATTCACAGGAATAGCTTAAAAAATATACCTCATGAGTAGTTAATTTAAATAAAGAGTTTGTTTGAAACCGAATTATGCCAAACATTACATGGTATATAAGGCAAGTTATAAATTACTATAATAAATCACATTTACGTTCCTTTGACCAACAGCCTATTTCTTCAAAGCTTATACCTAAAATAAGGAAGCTTTTAAGTGCCATTCTCATATATACTTTATAACATTAAGGTCATTTTTTCACCTCCTTCTCCCTCCTTTATCAAACACTGACAGGATGGACACTACTTCATAAGTTAAACAAGAATGAAAGAATAATTTTGCAACATTTATTTGAAAGTATATTCTTGATGAGGTAAGGGACAATTAACAAAACCAAAAAAATGTCACCGAGGAAAGTAAATATTACTATGAGTTCTGGAGTCCATCCTTATTTCAGTCACAAAATTCTCATGTTAAAGAAAAATGTTAATTAGGCAAGTTTGTAATGAGAAATGAAACATACATTCATTTTCTAGCCATCTGATCCAGTGCCCAGCTCTGATTTAGAGAAGTCAAAAGAAGTTGTAATACTGAAGAGAATGCTTTCAAGTAAGTATCCTGCAATCTACGGACTTGATGGAATAATCTGACTGCAACAGATTACTGCAGTAACAGGGATGGAACAGCTGGAGGAACAGAGATGCCTGGAACTGATTCCATTCTCTCCTCCCTCACCATCTACAAACCTGAGAGTTTGGTAAGGGAAACAAAGGAGGG